GCCGATTTGGCAGTGGCGTCAGCAAAACTGTTGCCAGCTGCCACCGGGTGAGATGGAATCTGATGACCTTTACAGTGTATGATGGCTGCTTTGGAAGGTGCTGATAAAGCGTCTAGCAGTTTAAGTATTTGCTTTTTGTTGATTATGGGGGTACCACAGGTGGTTAGGAACCCTCTTTCTTTCCAGATGACAGAATGGGTGTGTGCAATTACGAAGGCATACTTAGAATCTGTGTATATGTTTACTGTTTTTCCTCTAGATAGGAGAGCCCTAGTTAGTGCGATAAGCTCCGCCTGCTGTGATGTTGTTCCTTGTGGTAAAGGCTTAGCTTCTAGGACAGTGGATGATGTAACTACCGCGTATCCTGCCTGTCTGTTTCCTTGAGAATTTATAAAGGAACTGCCATCCACAAATAGGGTTAACTGTGGGCTCTCCAAGGGTTGGTCATGTAAATGTAAGTGACTAGGTGGTTGGGCCTCTAAAAGTTCTGGACAGGAGTGTTCAGTATGGGGTTGTTTGAGAGGGTTGGGGAGTAAGGTTGCTGGATTTAGAGAGGAGCAGACTCCTAGGGCAATGGTAGAGTCTTCTATGAACAAGAGGTGGAAAAGTTGGAGCCTGGACGGGGTTAGGTAGCTGATACTTTTGTGGGAAATAAGGTCTTGAAGGCGGTGGGTAGAGAAGACTGTCAGGCTGCAGCCTCTGATGAGTTTCTTCGCTTCCTGGGTTAGACAGGCTGCTGTGGCTAGGGCCTGAAGGCAGGGCTGCCACCCTTGTACAGTGGGATCTAATTGTTTGGATAGATATGCCACAGGACGGTATGTGGTACCTACAGGTTGGGCTAAAAGGCCAATAGCAACTTTTTGTCTTTCATCTGTGAAAAGCTGGAAGGGGCGTTGGAAGTCTGGGAGTGAGAGAGTAGGATGTGAGAGAAGGCAGTTTTTTAGGTGAGTGAAATGTTTATAGATTAACTTTGGGTTAGACAAAGGTCCTTGGGGAGTCTCCTTGACAGCTGCATATAGAGGTTTAGCCAAGATTCCGAAATTAGGAATCCAGTGTCTGAAAAACCCTACTAGGCCTAGGAAGGATTGGATTTCTTTAGTTTCTTGGAGAGGAGAAAGATTTTGTATTAAACGGTCTGTGGTGAGCGAGCGCATTGTGGGAGTGATTTCAATGCCTAAATATATGACACATTGTTGTGAGAGTTGAGCTTTGTGTTTGGATACTCGGTAGCCTCTGGATCCTAGATGATTAAGGAGGATTGCAGTGTCTAAAAGAGTCCTGTCTCATGGGACTGCAGAGTAGAAGGTCATCTACATATTGGAGAATTTTACTATTTGTAAGAGGACAGGAGGCCAAGTCTTTTGCAAGGGCTTGCCCAAAGAAATGGGGGCTATCTCGGAACCCTTGGGGAAGCACTGTCCATGTCAGCTGGGTGGAGGCATGGGTGTCTGGGTCTTCCCATGTAAAGGCAAAGAGACACTGACAGTCTGGGTGTAAGGGAATAGAGAAAAATGCATCTTTTAGATCTAGCACAGTAAAGTGTGTTGTGTTAGATGCGATGAGAGAGAGAAGGGTATAGGGATTGTGAACTATGGACGGGTGGGGCAAACAGCCTCAATGATAAGACGAAGATCTTGCACTAAAAGTCCCATCTGCCTTCTTTACAGGTAGGATTGGGGTGTTACAGGGAGAATGAGTGGGGATGAGGATGTGTTGGCTGAGTAACCTAGTAATGATTGGTTTTAGTCCTCGTAAGTGTTGTGGAGAGAGAGAACTGTGGGCAGGTTGGAAACTGAGATGGGTTTTGAAGTTTTATGAGTATTGGTGGATGATGGTCTGCCATGACAGGAGTGGAGGTGTCCCACACTTGGGGGTCCAAAGGAATGGGGAAATTAGGGAAAGGGTTAGTGGGGTTGTTGGAGTCATTTGAGTTAGTTAATACTGGAAGTAGATGGCAGGCGGGGTGGGGGGAGCTAGTAGGAAGGGAGATACAGGCTTTCAGTTGACTTAGGATATCTCGGCCTAGTAGAGGAGTGGGGCATGAGGGGATGATGAGGAACGAGTGTGCAAAATAGTTATTGGCCAGGCAGCAATTAAGAGGTGGTGTTCTAAGAGGACTAGATGGAGTGCCTCCAACTCCTATAACTGAAATATGAGATGGGTGACTAGGTCCACTAAATGATGGCAAAACAGAGTGGGTAGCCCCTATATCCACAAGAAAAGAAACTGGCTTACCCACTACCTGAAGAGTTACCCAAGGCTTGGGCGAGGGTGATGGGGGTCCCCGAGTCCAGGCGCTTTCAGTCGTCGTCTAGGTGTAAGAGCTGGAAGGAGCTCCCAGGGTCCTGAGAAGGGACACCACGTTGAGACGCTATGCCCGTTTTCAGGGTGGGGCAATCTGACTTCCAATGCCCTTCTTCTTGGCAAGCCGGGCAGGGTGTGGATGGCGGACGAGGATTGGGACAGTGACTTGCCCAATGTCCGCGTTTGCCACACTGAAAACACGGTTGTGTTGGACCTGGGGTGCCGCACTTACAACAGGCCCCCTTTGTTGCCTTAGTAGGCTTACCTCCCGGTCTGGGATTGAGATTAGGTTGCAGCGCTGCCGCTAGTGCTTGCATTGAGGGCTGCCTTCTGTTTGGCCCCATTTTGTCTCTGGGCCTCAGCTGTCTCTTCTCACGAATTAAAAACTTTAAAAGCTAGCTTGACTAAATCTTGGATGGGGGTCTGAGGACCATCTTCGGCTTTTTGGAGTATTTTCCTAATATCTGGGACTGATTGTGAAATAAAGTAAGATGCCAAGATAGTGGCCCCAGCTGGGGAGGCTGGGTCTAATCGGGTATACTGGGTTAAAGCCTGTTAGCCTATTTAAGAATGTGGCCGGATTTTCATCTGGACTTTCAATAATTTCTTTTAATTTATTAAAATTAACTATTTTGTTTGAGGCCGCCTGCATACCTGCCAGGAGGCATTGGGTCATGATGTCTCGACTTCGGCGACCCGGCTGGCCTACTTGGTAGTCCCATTCTGGCTCAATAGATGGGACTGCTTGTTCCCCTACTGGAGCAGCAGCATCCGTTATGTGTAACTGATCTGCATGCTGCCTGGCTGCCGCTAGGATGCACTCTCGCTCCTCAGGGTTTAGAGTAGAGGTAAGAATGACATGGAGGTCGTGCCAGATTAGATTGTAGGCCTGGCACAGGTACCTGAATTCTTTGGTATAAACCGTAGGGTTGGCAGAGAAGTCTCCTAAGCGTTTTTCAATCTTGGAAAGATCTGCTAGTGAGAAAGGGACATGGACCCTGACTACACCTTCTGCACCGGCCACCTCACGTAGTGGGGGCAGAACCGTAGGGGGTTGAGGGGTAGGAGTGGGGGTAGGAGCAGGGCCTGAACAATTTTTGGAACGGGTGTGAGAGGATATGGGTGAATCAAGGTGGCGAGAGGGAGGTGCTGAGGGGGCGGGGAAAGGGGCGGCAGGTGGAGCCAAGGTGGAGGTGGAAGTGGAAGGGGGCGGAGTATAGGGTGGAAGAGGAGGGGAGGCGGCTGCTGGAGGTCTGAAATGGGAGTTTGCAGGTGGACAGGAAGGATGACTCCTCTTTGTCCGACCCCACGGGGACCCCAGTCCTGGCCAACATAACTTGGGCTAAGGAGCATTGACTACATAAGTCTGGTCGAGAGCATAAATCCCAAAATGCTTGTATATAATTTTTTTTTTTTTTTTTTTTTTTTTTGAGACGGAGTCTAACTCTGTCGCCCAGGCTGGAGTGCAGTGGCCGGATCTCAGCTCGCTGCAAGCTCCGCCTCCCGGGTTTACGCCATTCTCCTGCCTCAGCCTCCCAAGTAGCTGGGACTACAGGCGCCCGCCACCTCGCCCGGCTAGTTTTTTGTATTTTTTAGTAGAGACGGGATTTCACCGTGTTAGCCAGGATGGTCTCGATCTCCTGACCTCGTGATCCGCCCGTCTCGGCCTCCCAAAGTGTTGGGATTACAGGCTTGAGCCACCGTGCCCGGCCCCTTGTATATAATTTATTTCAGACCACTTGCCTAGGCGCCGGCAAAAATTGCCAAGGTCGATTAAAATATTACGATCTAGGGTGCCTTCAGGCGGCCATTGGGACCGATTGTCTAGTTTACATTGCGGCCACGCCACAGTGGAGAGGAAAATCAGTCGCTTTCACTTTAGATCCTGCTCTAATTGTAGGTTTTTTAGGTTGCCTAATAAACACCCTAAAGGGGTGTCTCGCGGAATTTTGGACTGGGGATTACCCATTGCCTTTCTTTGGCTAATGGAAACCGGGCTCTGGCTGACTCCAAAGCATCCTTTGGAATCACTAGAGACCGGCGGCTCGTGGAGCCGTAAGTGGATGGAGAGACTTCTGAGCAGACGTCTCTGTCTCAAAAGGCTTCCTATGGGTCACCTGGTGACCTCAAAAGTGGCCTTGGGCCTGCGCAGGACTTCTTGGCCAAGGAGTGGGAAAGAAAGACAAAGGGCACTTACCCCAGGAGATTCTAGAGGAATGGATGGGTAGAAAGCGGTTCTTTGGGTCCTGGTCCGTCCGCGGCGTGGAAGGAGGAGGCTCCCCGGACCTTGGGGGACCCTGAGGAGGGGTCTCCTCCCGGGTTTCGGCACCACCTGATTTATCTAATTCCTTTTGGCCAGGAAAGAGTTAGGCGCTGGAGGCAAGTGGTAGGAAAGAAAGAACTTTATTGACCAACAGGTCAGGGCTCTTGGGCGAGGTTCAACCGGTCCTCTAAGCGGGGCCAGGGAAGTCGCGCCGGCGCTCTCGGGCGAGGTTCCTCGGTCCACGAGCAACGGGGCCGCGGAAGTTCGCGCCGACGCCTGCAGGCGGCGACTTTTATATCCTGGGCGTGGAAATGGGCGGGCAGTGGGTGGGATAGGGGCGTGCCAGGGGCGTCTCCGTAGTAAGTTTAGGTTTCCTCAGATGACGTCACGTCGCGCCTGCTCAGTTGGTCTGGTTTTTTCCCGGGCGCGGGCTGCATTTTCCCGCGCGCGGGTAACTTGGATGATGAAGAACCCGGAAGTAGTAGGGGCTGCGTCTTTTCTGTTCTTCTTCCTCCATCTTGTCCTTTTCCCCTTCACCCAGACAGCAGGAGCTGGAGGGGCGCGAGAGTCCCGGGGGTAATGTTTGTGGGGCGTCCGGTAGAATGGGAGGATGGGTGGGGTAGGATTGGGGGTGCACGAGAGAGGCTGCCCTCGAGTAAAGCCGAGAATTCGCCGCCCAGGTTGGGGAGGAGTCTGGCGTGAGCCGGCGCCGACCACCCCCTTCCCCCGGCAGGCTGCAGGCCAAGCCCCCGGGCTCAGCAGGTGTGTAGGAGGGGCCTGCCCTGCCCCACCCCAGCCCCGCCGGCCTCCAGGCTCTAGGGAGCGCTGGAGTCCGGGGTGGTTTTTCCTGGGGAGGGCTTCAAAGCTCTCACCGCCCCCTCTTCCCAATTCCCACTAGGGGAGCTGGCATACAGTAGGCGCTCAATACAGGAGCACGGGAGCCTGGGAGGCGGCTGGGGGATCCTCCGTGGGAGCCTGTCCCGCGCCGGTGAGCAGCCCCGGGGGCGCGGGCTCCCCCATCCCCTGCGGCACCGGAAGGGGAGGGCGGCGGACGCCCCCGGGCGCCATGTCACCGTGCCTCGGTTGCCAGGCAACGGGGCGGGCGGGAAGCTGGGCGGGGGGCGCAGCTGCGCTAGGGCGTGGGTGACACCCGGCGGGCGCAGCGCGCGCTGTTGCAGGCAGCCCCCTCCGCGGGGCTTAGGGCTAGGGGCAGGGAGGGCATTTTGTGTCTCAGCCAGAGGGGCCTGGCCAAGACCCTCTTCACTAGCCCGCTGCCTCAGTTTCCCCACGAGATGGATGAACTTGGGGACGCACTAGTGGGTGGGACAGAGGGGTTCAGAGCGTGCCCACAGGCTGGGGACTGGCACGGGAGAGACCACACACACACACTGGAGTAGGGTTTAAAAAGGGGCTCGTTTAATTAATTAAATACAAGGATGAGGCCAGGCAGGGTGGGGGAGGAGCGCCACCCACGGAAAGCACACGCCCCTTGGAGCCACCTCCCCTGCAAACGGCTGGAACCAAGTCCCAGTGACCAGCGGCTCCTGGGGGAGTGGAGGAGTGGACGCAGGTCTCTCCAGGCCCCTGGACACTGGAGAGGGGCCCGGTTAGACAGTTCTGGAACCCACAGCCCTACCCTCCCCTGCTCCAGACAGGCCCCGGCCAGGGCTGGGGCCAAAAAGACACTAAAGGAAAACGGGGCCCCAGTCCCCCACCCACCCCCACAGACTAAGGCATCTCACTAGCGCTGCCAGAGGAGGGGTTTGAGGCTAGGGACAGAGAACACAGAGAGCAGAGGGCTGGATGGGGCAGACCCTCCGAGCCCAGCTCCAGAAGGGCGTCCCCTGCCTCCCTCCCCGCAGGACCCCAGGCACCCATCCCTGGATCCTGCCAGGCCGGGGCTGGGTCCAGGTGCACACCAGTGGCCATCCAAAGCCCCCCTGCCCCCAAGCGAGATGCAGGAAGGTTCTGGAACAAAGGGGGGTACCAAAAACCTCCTGCAGCCAACAGTGAGGGGATTCACCTTTCTGGGTCTTGGACGTGGAACCTAGGACCCTTCTCATTCCGGGCTGGGGAGTCCTCAATACCCCCCAAGAGGAAATGCAACCCAGACCACAGCAGGACGACCCCTGGCAAGGACACGAAGGTGGCCCCCGAGGGACAAGTCCCCACCCACCCAAGTTCAGCTCAGAGACCCCCCCCACACACACTCACACCCCCTGAGGATGCCGGACCACCCACGGGGGCCCAGAAAAAAGGAATCCGTGCCTGAAAAAATATTCTACCCGGTGCAAAAAAAACGAACTACCCCAGGAGGCTGCACAGCCAGCCCACTGTTTCCAGTCCACGAGGCAGGACCTCGACCACGGGCCAGGGCCCACCTCTTCCAGGCACCCAGGAGAAGGAGGGGAGGTCGGGGAAGCAGGGCCTGGCCAGGCTGCAGCCCACGCCCGGAAGAGCCTGCAACCCTGGTGGGCATGGGCTCTACGGCCCCACCTGCAGGCCAGGGAGGGCAGTGCGGCCCAATGGCTGCAGGTCCTTAAGGGAGTTGATTGTCACGTGATACCGCAAAGGCCAAAGTCGGCAGGGCAGGGGCTAGAGGGCCAGGCCCAGTGCCAGCCTCCCCTGCAGCCTCTCTCTCCCACCCACCCAGAGAGGGGGAGCTAGGAGAGAGGAGAGAGGAAAATAAATAAGCCGGCATTCCCTCCTGACCCCGATATCCGCCTCCCACCTCCCAACCTCCACTGAGTCAAATGTTCTTTGGAAGAACCCAGAGGTCCCCTCCCTCCCCATCGCAGGTCTCAGAAGCAAGACCTAGAGCCCCTCCGGGCATCCTAACGTCTCCCCGCTCCTGGCTCTACCCCCAAGGTCTGGGGGGATGGGCAGCCCCTAACGTGGGCAGAACCTGTGGACACCTGAGATTGAGTACCCGAGTGGGGGGCGGCCGGGCTGCACCCCCGTTTCCCTGAACTGCTCCCATGGCTTTCGGTGGGGTGGGGTAGGGTGGGGAGAGGCAGGGGCCGTGTCAACCCCCAGCTCCTCTATGGCTGTCTGCACGCTTCATCCCAACCTGCAGGGATGAGGCAGGGGGTGCCTTCCCTGGGCCAGCTCCCAGAAGTCCACTCCACCCCCGCAAACCCCACCCCGGGAGGCGGGCAGCAGGGGGTGGTGGAGAGGAGAGGGGGGGCCCCGTTGCACAGATGGGAAGAAAGTTAGTATCATGGCTATTTACAGACACAAGCCCCCATCACCTGTCCTGAGAGCCACCTCTGAGGTCAGGCAGACCCAGGTCCAGTCTCAGGCCCCCTCCTTGCTCTCTGGAGGGGGGCAGGGGTGTCTTCAGGGTTTGCCCACAGCTGGAAGGGGACTGGGCTCCCCGTGGGTCCTCACTACACCCCTGGATGGCAGAAGCATCCTGGTGGTCAGGGTGGGCTGGACGAGGGCCCTACAGGCCTGCGGGGGCTGGGCTGGGCGCGGGGCTGGGCGCAGGACTCCCGGCCAGGCTGCAGGGCAGCGAGTCGCTGGGAGAGGTACTGCGGGCACCAGGGCGCCGGAGCAGGTCCGGGTGGAAGCCGGGGTGGCGGCGGGCGTGCTTGGCCAGGTGGTCGCTGCGGGTGAAGCGCTTGGAACACAGAGGGCAGGAGAAGCGCTTCTCGCCCGTGTGTGTCCGGTGGTGGCGAGCCAGCTCGTCGGAGCGGGCGAACTTCTTGTCACAGCCCTGCCAGTCACAAGCAAAAGGGCGTTCCCCTGGACAGAGAGACAGAGACAGACAGCGGTCAGCGGCGAGGGAGATGACAGACACATTCCAGCAGATCCCAAAGGGTGGCGGGCATTTGTCCTGTGCTGTTTTAGAGGCTGAGTTCTGGGTGTGAATTTAAAACATGGAAAAGTGTAAAGAACATAACCCCTACCCACCCTCCGGTGGCCCTCTTAATTAAATAATCCTCTTATTTCCCACCAGCTCTTAGAAAGGACTCTGCGGCGAGCCCAGAATCTGTTAACCGTAAGTAAGCCCCGCAGACCCCCAAGGCTGAAGCTCCCCAGGCCGGCGCAGCCTCTGGCCCCAGGCGGGACCCTGGCAGGGATTAGCAAAGGCCTCCAGTGTCTGTCCCAGGCACAGGCACGTTCAGAAGGCATGTTGGTCTTTCGGAGCACACAGGTCAGGCTGTCCCTGCCCCTCCCGAGGGACATTCAGGGGCCTCCCGTCTGTGCATGATCCCCTCCTTTTCCAAATGACCACCTGGGATGGGGGTACAATCATGGCAACTTCCCTAACTCTCCTGGCCCCTTCGAAGGCAGAGGGACGTCAGAGGAACCCGCAGGCACAGTTTCGGGGTGTGGTTAGATGGAAGGCAGGCAGGAAAGCTCGCAGGGAGGGGAGGGGGCGGGGTCTCCCGGGAAGGGGAGGGGCCTGGCTGGCTGGACTCGCCCCGCCCCCGCGGGACAGATGGCGCTGGGCAGGGGCGGGCCACCACCCGGCCACTTCCTCCACAGACCCCTCCCACAGCCAAGGCCGGGCCTCGCCCATCCTGCCCCTAAGCAGCCGTCGCCATCCTGGCCTGCCTGTGTGCTTCCACCCCGTGTGGGTCTTTGCTCGAGAACTCTGCCGCCTGACCCCCTCCCTTTAGCCAGGGTCTCACGCCCACAGCATGTGGCATCGCGATGTCAGCGTCTCCCCAGCAGATAGGGGTCTCCAACGACTGGGGAGGGACAGGTCAGTCCACTTGCACCCAGGGCCCAGTGCAGGACAAAGGGCCCTGCATCCCCGAAGCTCCCACCCTTTCGGGCCATGACCCGGGACCCTGGCATTCCCAGATGTTGTTCCCGACATCCCAGGGTTTTACAGGGTGGGTTGCGTGGATGGAGACTGAGCGCATGTGCCCCTCATGGCACTGATTGGAGCCCTGAGTAGCAAGAGAGACATCAGAACCAACTCCCCTGGGTGGCCCCAAAGCCTATCCGCAAGGAAGCCACAGCAGGGCCAGGGCGGCCAGGAGGGTGCTCAGCTGGTGGACTACAAACTGGGCAGCCCACGCCCAGCACTGGGGACTGCTCTTGCCCTGGGAGCACTCCCACCAGTCAGTGAAGAACTGCAGCCAGCCAGGGGCCTGGAAGGACCCAAAGCAGGGACCGTGGTGAGGGGATACAGAGCCAGCAGGAGGGGCACGGCCACACTCAGGGTGACCCGGTGACATCTCTGCTCTAAGATCAGGGACTGCCCTGGGGAGCCTGGCTGAGGTGGGGGACGGGAGGGTGAAGGGGTCTGCCCACTGAGGGGCACCAACGATCACTCGTGACCCGAGAAGAGCTGAAAGTTTACACCTTCCCTTCTCCCTTCCCATCCTTCCTCCCTGCCAAACGCTGACACCCTCAGCAAAACAGAAGACGGCAGACAGATACCAGCAGCCCCCCTCCCCAAGAGGTTGTGAGTCCAGGCGGCTGGAGAGGGGGAGAGAGCGACTGTCACCACGACCAACATTAGCCTCAAATCCGTGGGGCTGCCTGCTCCACACCCAAAGTCTCTCCCAAGCAACCCAGGATGCAGACAGCAGCAGCTGGGGTCGGGGGTCCCTCAGCTGGGGGCCGTCTACAACCAAAGCAAGAGGCGCAAAGCAGCCCTGGAAGGGACCCCACTCCCATCTCAACCACTGGGCCCTGACAGCTCCCAAGGGCCTCAGTCTGGGGAGGGGGTCTGGCTGTGGGAGCGCGCCTGGAGCAGACCACAGGATGGGGGCGCGCGCCCCTCCAGGGAACATGCCGCCGTGTCGCCATCTTGCAAGGCACAGGCGGGGAGGCGGCAGGAGGGAAGGGGGGACATCCCACGGCTGGGTGCCAGGCAGTCAGATGGTTCACTTCCCCTTTCAGGGCGGGGGGGCTGGTCCCCACTCCCTCTCCCCCAGTTCCAGTTTGCAAAGAGGAGCAGGTTGCCAAGGGGGGCGAGCGGGGCAGGGGCGCGCGGCCGCCGGGAACACAGCTGCCGCACGTAGCTCGGCGGCGGCGGCGGGGACATCCGCAGCCCCAGCCGGCCCCGCTCACGTGGTCCCACTCCCGCCGGGGCCAGGGTCGCCTCGCCGGCCTGGGTGCCTGCCAGCCCCGCCCCGCTCTCAGAGACTCGGGCGCGCACGTGCCTCACGTGGGTGGCAGGGCAGGGGGTGCACGGGCTACCCACCCCCGCCGCGCTGGGCGAAGCGCGTCTGCGAAATGCCAGGCCCTGCCTCTCACACAATCCGCTCGCAAGGAGGGTGGGGTGAACTTGTGGGGGCCCAAAGTGCGCTGGCCCCCAGCCGGCCGGGCCCCCAGGTGCACAGCCACCCGACTGCTCGGCGCTACCGGGCCGGGACGCAGCCCCCGGAGGATGCGGTGGGTGGGGACAACGCGGGAGGGCGGAGTGGGCGGGGCCGCGGTGGACTTGACCCTCTGACTCAGGCTGGGCCCGGGTGAGCTCAGGACAGCCTCGGAAACAGGCAGGCTCTAGAAAAATGGAGGCCAGGAAGTCCTGGAAACCTGGCCCGGCCCCGTCTGAGCCGGCACAGGAGGGGCCTGGAGACGGGACTGCAGGACTGTGCCATAGGCCCTGGTTCCAACAGGGAAGCCTCACCTCCTGAGCTTGTCTGGGGGGGGCTTGGGTGGGGAGGGGAGCTGTGGCCGGCCGCCTGCCGGGGCACTCGTCCACCTCAGAGATGGGGTCGGGTCTGTAGGGGAGGGCACAGGTAGGGAAGACCAGCCCCAGCCGCAAAGCAAGCATTCCAGGAGAGCCAGGAATGTCTGGGGCCGGGGGAGGCCTCTTACCCACCCAGGGAGGGGCAGGGGCTCCTTAAGGTGATCCTTGAGCAGGTTCTATAGAACCTATAGGCAGCTGCTTCTGGGAGCCGCTGCAAAAAAGGGGGAACACTGGTGGTGAGGCCGCACCAGCCTGGGGGTGGGGTCTCGAATACCATCTGGGCCATAGCAACCCCCACACTCACTGTGCCCCCCAGCTCCCCTGACTTCCCAAAGCCAAAGCTTCCTGCCTCCCCCATCCCCACTCCTCCAGTAGACTTCCCCTTTCCAAACCCTCTGCTGTTCCCGCCAAACACACAGGCAGGCATACCAGCCCGTGTGTCCATCTCGAACCTCCCCATGTGCCACCCGCCAGCCAAATCCCATCGCCTTCGGGATCTGTCCAGACCCCACCCTGCCCCTCCCAGCTCACGCCTGGACTAGTGCAGTAGTCCAGCATCTCCCACCTGGGCCACCCAGACTGCGCTTAGCTTTCCTGAGCTCCGCCCTGGCCTAGGGTCAGAGCTGACAGCTGATCCTGCTGTTCGGAGCTTCTCTGAGCAGCACTGCCCCTCACAGTGGCCTGGTGCCCCCCAAGCGCCCTTGGTCAGCTTCTCTGTCCTTGTGCCAGGCTTCCAAAAACGCGCGCATCTTGTGGGTATAGTATCTGCACCCCTGCACTCCAATAGGAGCTGAAAGCAGGTACTTCATTCACAGCTGGGTCCCCAGCAATGCCCAGCCTGGCATACAGCAGGTGCTTAATGCATATCTGTGGAAAGGGAGAAGGCCTAGGGGATCAAGCTCTGGCTCCAACAAGAGCAACAGCAGATAATGTTGGCTCAGCATCTTGAATACCCCTGTCCTCCTCGCCCCCCGGCCAAACTATCACTACTCCCTTCTCCATAAAAGGAGGTCCACCTGAGGCCCAGCCCAGGCCAGGACCTCCTGACCTCCTGCTCCAGACTCTGGGTACCTGGGGGTAGGCAGGGGACAACGCCTCAACGGCCCTGGTGCCTGTGTAACCTCTATTCCAGAAATCGCCTGAGCCAGGGCGGCGCCCCCCGCCCCCACAGCCTGCCCCGCTGGTATCATCTGCCTCCTCCCCGCCGATCTGGGCTGTTTTTATCAGACAGCCTGGGTGGGGGTGGTGGTTATCGCCCCCCACAACCCTGGGGGAGCCCTCCCCCATCCCACTAGCTGGGGCACGTGCAGGCAGTTCCAGCTGCTCTCTACACTCTGCAGGCTCAAGAGGCGGTGGATGGGGGAGGGCAGTCCCTGGCCCCCTACCCCCCACCGCCTGTGGCCTGGCACTGCCCTGCCCCAGCTTTCCCCGGATAAGCTGCCAGTTCTCCCGAGCTCTGCCCACCAGCACTGCCATCCTGACCCTACAGGAGCTCATAGTTCTGCCTGGGGGTGGAGGGGAGAATGAGGTGGGGCATGGCTGTGTCCCCCTCTGGGCCTCAGTTTCCCCACCCACCTGTTCTCCTAGGGCCCTCTTCAGCAAAGGAGCAGAAACCCGGCAGGCGCTCAGACACTCCTCTGCACACCTGAGGAGTCTCCCTCCAACCCAGTGCATAGACCAGCACGCCTCGCTCCTCCCACATCTCGTCCTGCCCTCAACCCCTCTCTGATCCTAATCCCTTCTCCATAAACGGATTTGCCTCTGCAAAGCCCAGCCTGCCTCGAAGCCGCCCCCAGCGTCCCCACCCTTGGGATTAAGTGCAGGGCTTCACCTTGCCAAGGTGCCCCCTACCCACCTCAAGTCCCTACCTCCACAGCAGGCCCCAAAACCAGCACGTCCTCCCTCTCCCATTCCCTGTCCCACTCAGCCCAGTGGGCCTCAGGCTGCCTCCTCCAGGAAGCGTTTTTCGTCATCACTAGCATCCCCGTTGCCACCACCCCGCTGCCCCCGCCCCCACGAACACAGTTCCCTAAGTCCTGGGGTGCAGGGACTGGAATGCTCGGCGCTGGCCTGCAGCAGAGGCTCACCAAGACCTCTCAGGTGCAAATAAACAGGACTTCATGAGGGGATACAACCGGGGGTGACCCTGCAGCCCCCTGGGGGGCAACTGACAAGGTCTGGGGACATTTGTGATTGTCACAACTGGGGAGGGGGTGCTCCTGGCATGGGGTGGGTGGAGGCTGGGGACACTGCACAGCACCCTGCAGTGCCCAGAACAGCCCCTCCTCAGAAAACGATCAGGCCCTAAGCCCTGCGTGAGAAGACCCATTCCAGGTCTGAGCCCCTCTCCTGGGGAGGGTGTCGGCAAACCCTCAGGAGGTGCAGGCTGACAGTGTGCCGGGCACTGGCATGCCGGGGGCGGGGGCCCCCTCCGGGGATGCAGGGGGTTTGGAGAGCAGGGAGCCGACAGCCAGCCTCTCCTCCCGCCCCCGCCCCAACTCGCTGGCTCGCTCACTCTCCGTAACCATAGCAACGGCGTCAACATCACCCACAGCTTCCAAAGTCCTTCCCCGCCCCACGCAGGGGAGAGAGAGCCCAGAGCCGGCGGGGCTAGGAATAGGGGCTGTGGGCCAGACCCAGCGGATGGGAGGTGCAGCCCTGCCCCCTGCTGCCCCCATGAAAAACATCCACTGCTCCCCAGGCCTCTTCACTCCCAGGGCCAAATGTGGCCAAGATAATGGGAGCGCCACGCTTCGCACCAGCGGGGCTCCTCCAGTGTGCCTCAGTTGGTTCATCTGTAAAAATGGGGCCAGGCCACGATGGGTGTTCCCTTTACAGAGGAGAAGCACCCCAGGCAGGGGTGGGTGGGGGCGGAACTTGTTCCCATTGGCCCCTGGGACAGCCCTGCAGCCCCCGGTTCCTCTGCGATCTTTCCTGGCCTCCACTCCATTCAGGGACAGCCCTGCAATGGGGCTCCCTCCCAAAAAAACACATGAACTTCCTGTCCCCCAAAACCAGCTTAACGGCAGCCATTCCCTCCCTCCTCCGGGAGCTGAAAAAACCAGAGCCCCTTCCACGAAAAGAAGCTGTTTGCACAGACCCTTTGGTGGCCCTGGGGGCTGGGGAGGCCTGGAAGAGGAGTCTGGAAAGCCACAAGTATCCAAAACCCTTTGGAAACCTAATCCAAGGTGCCTGGGCCTGGGACTGCCTTCTCAGTCCCCAAATCGTTACTGTGAAGGGGGCTTTGGAATGGGATGTCAGCAGGCTCCCAAGGGGTGGGGGAGGGTGCCAGGAGAGCCACCCTGCCCTCCCCCACCGCACAGAGTAGACGGTGGCGAATCATCAGCACATCTGCACCCCCAGGCCTCAGTTTATCACCGCAATCCCAGGATAACAATCCTGCCTTCCCAGGACTCCAAACCCATCCTTCCCCTCCCTGCTGGCTTAGGGACCGCCGCCCCCACTACCCAGGGGCCTGTGGAAGCGCCTCTAGGGTGCCACTGTGGGAGGTGGCCATCCCATCCACTTAACCCAGAAACTCAGAAAACCCAAATGAAGCTCTCAGGCCACGCCATCTGGCATAGGAAGAATGACCTGGGTAGACAGGTGGGAGTCGCTTTCTCAACAGGCTCCCACTTCAGCCCCTTGTCTGTTCAGATCGGCAAACTCACCCCCAACAAGCCAGGGCATTCCTGGACCTCTGCCCGCCGCCCAGAGAGGCACCTCCCTTTCTGTTCCCAACGCTGCCTCGCCATCTTCACAGTCCCCCAGTGTCCCTCCCCGCGGAGATACACGGACCCTATTGCCCTCAAAAAGAGGTAACACCCGGAGACCCCTCCGCCGAGGGGTCCTCGCAGAAAACGCAGACCCCACCCAAGTCCTATCTTGACGCCCTTGGTTCCCGTCTGTGTCTCAAGGTGGGCAGAGCCTCCAGGCCCCTGGGACCAGGACAGGGACTGAGCAAGGGGTGGAAAGCGTGGAGAACAGAGAGGGGGGCAGCCTGCGGGCTACAAACCACCGCCCCCACCCGCCCTCCTGCTCTCCAGCCTCAGGCGTCCCAGCACGGCTCCCCACGCCCCAAGGATGAACCCTCAATTCTTCCACAAGGCATTCGTGGCCCCTGCTCACCTCAGCCTCACCACTCTGGACAACCTGCTTCCCTTCGGCCGCTCCACGTGTCCCTACAATCCGAGCCCACGGACCAAGCCCCCTTGGAGTATCCCGCTGCCCAAAACGGCCCCCGCTACGGCTATGAAATAAAAGACAGCATCACTCTTGACAGAGATGAGAAAATTGAGACCCAGATCGGGTAGAGGTCCTCTGTTTGGTGGCAAGGCCAGAATGCCAAGCCCAAGTGCGGCCCGACAGGCTTCCCCCAGCCCCCCACCCTCCCCAGTAAGAGACAAGCACCTCTAATGCCCAAAACCAGGCCGGCCATCAAGGCCCACCGTCCCCTGTTCCCCAGTCCAAACTCCCAGTACAGAAGGTGGAATCCAAGGAGGAGATGGAGTGAAAAAATACGGCCAGACCCACTTGGCTCTCGGTTCCCCTCGCCGCCCGGGGACTGCACTAGGAGGGGCGTTGGTGTAGCCGGAGCGCTCCCCGCTCCAACCCTGCGCACTTTCCCGAATCGCCTGCCAGATAGGGGTGAACAAACACGCCGGGGAAATACACATAGTGTGGACCTTCCTATAAAGTCCCCCCGCCCGAGACTCAGGCCCCAACCGGCGCTCCCAGCTGCGCCCTCCCCCTCGTTAAAATACAGAGAACGCAGAGAAAACGTGCCGGGCTCCCCCCATCCTGGCCCCACGCCAGGTGCTCCGCCGACCTCTGGGGAGAATCCGCGCGGCCACCCCGGAGGCGGCGACGCGGTTCCTCCTCCATTTTCATAGATAAGGAAACTGAGGCTGGGGGAGGGGGAGGACCCAGAACCCCAGAGCCGGATGCCCCAACCACAGTGCCCACCGCCCAGACCATAACGCAAAAGAAAAAAAACAAAAAACGGAACAAGGCCCAGAGAGAGAGAGAGGTGGCCTGCCCAGGAGTCTCACTCCCGCCCGCGGACCTCGCTGGGTCCCCGGAGCCCCAGCCACTGCAGCCGGGGCGGCCATCCCCTCGCCGCCCGACCGCGTGGCCGCCACGCCCCCCGCGCGCGCCCCACCCACCGAGGCCCCGCCCTGCCGGCCGGCGCGGCGGCGGCCCGGGCGCGCCCCCCTCCCCGCCCCCCACGCGCCACGCAGTTTCGGGGTCCTGGCGGGGGAGGGGGCTCAGCCGTCCGCCCCCGCGCGGCCCGGGATCGCGGCTGCGCTCACCTGTGTGCGTCCGCAGGTGCGACTTTAGGTGCGAGGACTTGTAGTAGGCTTTGGCGCAGTCCGGGAAAGGACAGCGGTGGCTCTTGGCGGCGGCGGAGGGCGCGGCGCCGGGGGCGCGGCCCGAGGACGGGGACGAGGCGGCTGAGGAGGAGGAGGCGGGCGAGGCGCCCCCCGGGGCGGCTCCGGGCCCGCCGCGCAGGTCGGCCAGGATGCTGGCGGCCAGCAGGTGGGGCGCCGCGGCGGCGACAGGGCCCGGGCCAGGGGCGGCGGGAGGCGGCGGGGGCGGCCCCGGGGTCCCGGGTGAGGCGGCCTCGCGGCGCGCCGCGCGCACATCCAGGCCAGCGGCGGGGCCCGCGCCCTCGGGGCCGGGCCGCCCGCGGTGCACCACCGCGCCCGAGGAGATGGCCATGAGCACGTCGGCGGCGAAGTAATCCACACACGCCACGGCCGCCGACATGCCGGGCAAGGGCGCGCGGCGCGGCGGGCGGAGCGGAGGCGGCGGGAGCGGCGCCCGTCCGGCCGGCGGCGGCTGCTCGAGTGCGGGAGGCGGAGGAGGAGGAGGAGGCCCGGCGCGCGCCGCCGCCGCCGCCCGCGCTCGGCCTGCCCCGCCCCGCCTGACGCGCCCTGACGCACCGGAGCCCGCGGGGGCGGCCACAGCCCGCCCCGCCCGGAGGACGCCCCCTCGGGGCGCCGCAGCCACGCCCCCCGCCCGCCGCGCCCTCCACCACTCTCCGAGCGCGGTCGCCGGGGGCGGGGCTCGGGCCGAAGGAACCCGCCCCCCGGCGCGCCCACTCAGGCCTCCAGGAGCGCCCAGCGTCTTAGGCCCGGAGCGCGCACTCCCAGCACTGGGGTGCAAGGCTGGGGAGCCCCGCCCCCTCCCGGCGCGCCCCACTCCAGCGCGCGCCCCCGGTGCCCTTTCCCGGAGCACCACCCCCCCAAGCCGGGGCGGGAGGCCGAGGACCCCGCCCCCTCTCCAGCACGCCCCTCCCTCCCAGAGCGCGCCCCGCCCCATCCCGGCACGCCCCTCCCTCCCAGAGCACGCCCCGCCTCCTCGCTGGCGCGCCCACCCCACGCCGGGGCGCGCGGCCGGCGGGAGCCCGCCCCCTCCCCGGATGGTTCCCCCCTGGCCTCGGGCGCGCCCCCGTTCGCGATGGAGGAGGGCTCCGATTCCCACGTGGCCGGGGTTGGGGGGGGTGCGGAAGCGGCCGGCCCCGCCCCCAGGCCACGTGCGCGACCCTTCCCCCCTCTTATCCCGGCCTGGGGCCCTGCTTTGACCCCGCACCCAGGCATCTGCTCGTCCTCTTCTCTGGGGTTCCCCGTCGCCGCTCACAGAGCCCCTAGGAGCCTCCCGGCCGAGGCACCCGGTATCCCTCGCCCGCGGCGGGGCCCGGGAGGGTGGGGCAAGCCTGCGTTCGTTCCTCTTTTTGCACCCAGTTCCGGAGCTACTGGA